AAATTATACAGTAGACTGATATTAACAATCCTGTTTTCAGTAGCCAGTAGTCGGCAAATCTTGAAACTAGCCTAAGTCTTCACCATTTGACCCGTTGCCAGCCAGTCTTGTGGGTAATGATTACAAATACAAATCTTTTCCTTATCATTTTGTTTCCCCCCAAATTTTCTCATTAGAGGCTGAGTGCATTAATGTAAACTTTCTACAAATCCTGACCTATGGCTCAAACGCTATTTCTCAATCTAAATGGAGCCAGTCAAGTCCTTGTGCACTAATTCCTCTTTCTCCTACCTGGGCAAGCTAATTTCTGCAGGTCAGGTGGATCCATGAATACATTTTGTATACATCAATATACATAAATGTTCCTGCTCATGCCCACTAACACAAAGACAGTTTCTTAAATAACATTAAATGGCTCTAAGGTTGCATCTCCAGTGACCTGCTAGAGCGGACCTTGTATTTTGAGACAGGTTTGGAAGGGGCTCACATGCATTGGTAGCCACACAAGAGAATCTCCAGCATCCAGTGTCAAGGTTTTTCCAGCCTCCTTTCCTGTTTTACTGATGCATGCCTGTCAGCCATTCTCTCATGATCAGTCATGAGCATACCTTCTATTCCTAAACTATATCAAGGTGATTTAATAAACTACCTGTTACAAAGTTGGCAGGGGAGGTGGAGAGCCTGATTTCTCAGTGGGTCTTAGCATTATGTGGCCACGTGAATTTCTATTTTCCTGATCTAGAGATGTATTAGTACAGAACAACAGATTTGTTTTATTCTGGGGCCTACTTCCAATTTACAGTAACAATAATTCATTTTAAGTAGTTTGGCTAAGCATAGGACATTAGGATAATAACACTTGCATTCAAGTGCACTCACCCAGTAGCTCCAAAAATAAGAGGTCGGAATTTTTGAAGACTCGGGAACTTGATACAGGAGAACATTTTCTTACGTTCCTGTTTCTTCTTGCTTTAGCCACCAGTTCCTATTAATATTTTAAAAAAAAAACTTGTGTATTTGGAAGGTTTTTGGGGGAACTCTCAAAAAATTCCTTCATAGTTTTTACACTGCCCATCCCTATCCTCAGTTTCGTGGTGTTATCTTGTCACAGTGAAGATACAGCTGTGGTTTCCACGTGTTGAAAGATACTTGCTTTATTATGTCAAGCAGTTTGCGTGTGGAGTCATTACTGAAATCCTAACTTACCATGCATCACAAACCAAGACCCAGATACGAAGAAAATGCTACACCTAAGTGTTAACCAGCCATGTGGTGGAAAAAATACCATATTCCCGCCCCCGCCAAGTTATCCTATCTTTTCCAATGACCCGCTAAATCCCATCTGAGTTCAACTGTGCATAATGATTAGAGAAGTAAGCTTGACAAAGTCAAGACTGAACTCAAATGCCCAACGTACTTGTTTCTCTCTGCCCTTCTTCTCGGTGGCATGACGCTTGGCTTCATATTTAGAGTTGGGAAAGGAAGAAACATCTATGAAAAATAATACAGCGACTTGCCATCAAACCAGGTTTTCTGTTGTCCTGGAAAACCAAGTGATGCAAGTGGAAAACAAAAGGAGGATGTTGAGAGGGCTCAGTGGCACATGGAGCTCTCCACACCCAGTCTCATGGCATAAACCACATCAGACTGACCCAGACATGGTGGCCGTAAACGTCTGGGCTCTGGTGAGGCAGACCTAAAGCAATTGTCTGGCTCAGAATCAACTCAAACTTTCAGAACATTTTTAGGCAGCAGGTCCTTACAAACATGTTCTATAGCATCCAAGCATTCAACCAGGGACAAAACAAGGTCACTTAAGTTTTAGCAGAATATGCAATTAAAAAAAGATGGCTTTTCTACATTTATAGCCTTGCTTTTAATTTTTTTTAGAATTTAAAAAAAATTTTTAGAAGATTTTATCTTAGGAAGAGAGAGTCAGAGAGAGAGAGGGGACGCATGAGTGGGAGGAGCAGAGGGAAAGAGAGAGAGAGAGAGAATCTCAGACTCCATGCTGAGAGCCCGAGGCAGGACTCGATCCCAAGACCCTGAGATCATGACCTGAGGCAAAATCAAGAGTCCGATGCTTAACCAGAGCCACCCAGGCACCCCTATATCCTTGCTTAATAAGCAAACATAAACCAAATACCCAATTTCATTAGCTTCTTAACTAGTTATCACCCTTCAAAATGGAGATTTTAACACACTTAATTTTACTTGCTAAATGTTTTCCCAATCCCAATCTTTAAATAAAAATCTGCTTGCAAGCAAATTCTCCTTCCTATTCTCTGCCTCCTTAGACTCCCACCCTAACTAAAAAAATAAATAAAAGTTGTTTCTTTTTAGGCTCAGAAGCTGATTTAAGGAACTAGTTAGAGTTCTCTTAACAGATCTCTACAGAATTGAGACATTATGAACAGCTTTATGTCTTCCTATAGTTAACTGGACATGACGATGCCTTTTCCTTTCACTTAATTTGTTTCTTTCAACACCAACACTAGAATACAAGCTTTATTTTCCTGCGTTTTTTCCAGTAAGGGTGAAATACATGCTGCTAAATTAGAATCTCCCCTCTCTCACTAATAAGAAAACCAGGAAGCTGGATTTAAAGCGTTCGGTTTGTCCTTGTCCTCTTGGAAGAACTCCCGGTCTTTAAATTGACAGTGCAGCTGTTGACTGAAAATTATACAGAAAGATTAATACATTCTCAAACTGATTTTCTGTCAGGAAAGTTGAGTGTTAAGGGTTTACAAAATACTTACGTCTAAATAAAGGCAATGCTCTTTACATCCATAGGAAACAAAAATAATTTCGATGTAGAATATAAAGCTCAATTTTATTAACCCAGCACTAAATGACAAGAGTGTCCTGTGATGACCGAATGCTTGGACAATGTAGGGTGTCCGCCATCACTGAGCCAAAATACGATCACATGCTTCAGAGTCAGAGGCCGGTTCCTCAAAACAAGCCAGCTTTCCTCGGCAGAGACAAGAACAGGATGCCAGTGGCTTCTATCAACACCCAGATGACAAGTACGAAAGAGTGAAATTCATAGCCATAAATCTTTCAGAAGCAAAGTAAATCTCCAACTTATTAGTAATTTAAGAAAAATACAGAAAACAAGGATAAAACAGTATTATGGTGCACAGAAAAAAGCAACTGAGCTAGTAGTCAAGGCTGAATTCTAGTATTAGCTCCTTCTAACAGAACTCAGGCGAGCCCCTCTACCAGTCTGATGAGAGTTGGCCTGATGGAACTTGATGGTCTGCAGCTGTCTTTCAGCTGTGAAGTAAGTATTTTAAATGTAAGGAGGGAGGGGATCTACCTTACTGCAATTATATTTTAATGTCCATCACCTATTCAGTCTTAATAAATAATTGTTTAAATATGGCGATATTGATGCTTAAAAATTCTTAGACTTGGGCTTGGATGAAAATCCTCACACATCTAGCCATAACCAAGATAAAACTGAATTCAGGTCAAGACATGCCAACCAGTCCAAGACAGAAAGTGATGTCAATATGACACCTGGAAATTGCAGTTCCATAACATAATTTGATACTGTTAAAATGGAACTTCCTCTTGAATAGAAAATTTAAAGAAAATCCTTACTAAAGTAAGTATAAAAAATGTTTGTGGTTGTTAAAAAATTAAGGGACTTCAAATTTACTAGAAATTCCCCAATACATAAATACCTAACCTAAAAACCACCTATAAGCTTCTTAACTGTTAAATTTTACTCAAAAAAATTGTGTGCTATTCATATATTGATTTGTCAATCTTGATGGTGGTACAGACCAGTTTAGATTTACACTGGACTTGTGTGAAATTAAATACTGCACCAATAGTTAGGATGACCACTGATACAGACTTAAAAAAAAAAAAAGATATGGCTTATTTATGTAGACATATTTTGTTATAAAGCCAAAATTTTCAATGGGCTCCCTTCATGCAAAGGAGGATACATGTATCACATGTTGACATAAAGGCAGTCTTAGCATTAACTGCAAAGTATGCTCCCCATCATATTCATAACACCCAATTTATTACACCTTTTTCCAGGGGCTTCACTAAAAAGCAAAGGTTAAAAAAAAAATCCATCAATGAAAGACCAAGAGATTATAAGAGAATACTGTATTTTGGAGATAAAATCTAACAATGTCAATAAAATGTGTGCAAAGTGAAATTTATCTTTTCCATAAAGAATTTTCTATTGTATATAAATAGACCTTATTTCTATACTTGTCCTTTAAGAACTCCATTTCTAAAGGACAGTAAGTTATTTCAGGAATTTCTCCTTTGATTAGATAAATATAATATGACAAGAGCAATTCTGAGGCATTTGCCTCTCAAAAAAAATTTTTTTTTAAAAGTTTGGTTAATACATTCTTAAGTGTTCACATCTGCACAACAGAAACGAATTTTTAATAGAACATATTATTGAAATGTTTAAATTTGGCTAAAGTTCTTAGAAGGCATTTTGTAGCATCCTACACACTAGATTCCATAACTCAGTTTAATCTTCAGACACCCACTTGTGCCAAAGTCAGCAGCACAGAAAATTCTATTTATCAAAACTGAGGTTCCTGTTTAATGTACCATCTTTGATACCATTGATTAAGAACTATTTAAGTCCCACATGAACTGCTGTATTTAGCTTTTACTGAAATGACCAGTAAACTGCAGTATCATTCTGATTTTAGGGAACTGCAACATTTTCAGTATGCCAAACAGCTCCAGTTTGACCTTGCAATGTGAATGCTCTGTATACCACAGCAGTGGCTTCCAGGGAGCTGAGCAGCTGTCCCATTTCCCAGCAGAACAGGGTGTAACATTCTTTTTGCTCACCGTGTTTATTTAATGGCACACTCTCTCAGGGCATGCAGTCTGCTGAAAACTTCAACCATCATCATTCACTGCTGTGTACCCTTTACTATAATCTACAGTTAAAAAAAAATGTTTTTATCCATTTTAATCTCTTCACAATAAAGAAAAACACAGCATTTTAGCCTATTTGGGTCAAATTAATTTTATTATGCTCCATGATGAATTGCCACCAGTGCAACATCCTATCACTATACATTTCAAAAAAATTCACATACTAAACAAAATTTCAGTTGATAAATGGAAACGAATGATTGAAAAGTCTTTATGAATCTCACACATACAATATGTGGCTAGCTGAAATTGTCTATCACGTAGCATATAAAAAGCCTCATGCTGTTTGTTAAATGCGAAGGCTATCAGACAATCATTTAGCTGCAGAATATATGGGAGGCTTTCAGACAACGCACAGGTACAGTGCTGCCCACAGTGCAAGGTGGTGGAGGACCGAAACATGCAACCTTTACATCTACAGTGGACTTAGTCTTCATGCCTGGACTGAACTCCACAGCTGCTGTGTTTCAACCAATAGTAATTTAGACTTTGTGCAACAACAATAACAGAAAGCCTTTTTTTCCTCAAGAAGAATAAACTCAATTACCTTTGGCAAATTTTATACTCATATTACATGTTTAAAATTGTTTCCAACTCAAAGAATTGATATCCTTTTATTCAGAGCAGCTCCTGATAAATATCATACCGAAGTTAGCTGGAAAACCCTGAATTCCTTGGCCAAAAGTTAAGAGAGATCTTAAACTGGCATTACCTTAAAGACATTTCTAGGATATTTAAAATGTTTTTTATGATGTCAAATGAAAAAAAAGGAGGATGCTTAATATTACTTAAAATAATTATAATGTTCTATTTACCATTTGCACAAATTCCTAACTCTATTGGTTAGTAGTTGTCCAGCCTCATCCACACCAGACTCAAGTGTCACTGAGCTCAAGCCACGATAAAAATGAGAGTAAGCAGAAAAAGGTTTCTAGCAGCAGAGGGCACTGTTTTTGCAAGAAAAAAAAAAGTCTAGAATCTTTCCCATGTGTTTAAATTACTCTTGCAAGAAAGGTAACATTCTTTGAATAACTTAACTATCTTACTGCACCACTTACTGCTTTCAGCAACAAAACCTTTTAAATTATTTATGATAACTAGATGCATGATCATTAGAGATTATGTGATAACTGGTTAAAATTCAAGCCATATCTTGCAGGTCCAGCCTGTCAAGATCATGCCAAATACTAGATTTTGGTCGGTACAATTCTAGAGAGCTTAATTTTTAGTTGGATATTGTGATTATAGTACTGAAATACATTTGGAACTACATTCTGCATATGACTCAATGTGAGAAAAATACGTGTCTGTATTTAAATCAGATCATTTTCCTACCTAAAATTTAAAGTAGGTAGGTATGATAATTAGCACTATAAATATGAAAACAACCACCTTTAGGCAGATTAGTGTATTGTAGAGAGGCAAGGAAACCCTAATTTTAACACATCATTTAGTATACATAACAAATGTGCAGGTTGTAAAGTTTTATTTAAAAAAAAGAATCTATCATTCAGTTATGTGTTTCAAGAAATATGACACTGGGACCACCAATCTTTTAAGAAAAATGTAACCCTTCACCTGACATTTGACAAAAACCTTGAGAAATTATAAAAAAAAATTTTAAATAGCGTAAGAGGTTCAGCATTACAGCGTTTACCTTTGCCAGCTAGATTCGATTTGTATGGCTGGTATTTCTGAATACCTCAATCCATACAGACTACACAATAAAAATAATTCCACATCATTTTTATAATGTTCTGATTTTTATAGTGTATTTAACTAGATACTGAAGTAACCATAATGTATAGCCTCCTTCAGTTCATGTAGAATATTAGCCCTAGAATCCCCCAAACTGCAAAAACTTAAACTACTGTTTAAGAGTAATACCAAAAATATTTTTAAATTTTTGCTAAAAAGAGCCTGACACATTTGCTATAGCATAAAAATAATCTCAGTCAAGTACAGGTATGCAAGGTCTCCTTATGATTCCAGCCTCCAAATACCACTTCTGTACAAGAACAGGCAATACTGTTACAAGAGGTGTGTTACTGATTTTCCCAACTAGCGTCTCTGTAGTGACATTATGCAGAGCATACTGCTACAACTTGAGAAACTGCATCAGTGTAGTGATGTCTAGAGAACTGTGCAATGTGTCAGCTTCAACATTCATGTAGCATGGTGTTCAAAATGAAGGGGCTAAATAAACTAAGGTCTGTATCACTTAAAAAAGAATGTAGTGCTATACTAGATTTTAATAAGAAAATTTAGGTACAGAAAAAGTAGGGTATGAAAATAGTGTTTTTCCTTCTGGCATTATAACTAAATTACATTAAGGTTTTTGTCAGTCTCACATATAATATTTAAACTCCCTTGTTGATGGAATGAAAAATATTCACAAATTAAGTGAGCATCCTGGTGTAAACTTGCACACAATAAAAGGGAGTAGCTTTGTAGAGGATTTTGACAAACCTTTACAGATTAAATGAGGTATTGCACAGATTAATTAAAAAAAAGCAAAAAAGGCAACAAAAATATACAGCAAATTGGTAGAACATTTACATGATAATTTTACAGAATCCATAGACAGAAAGTAGTGTTTAGTATTTCACCTTAAAAATATATATATATAATATATAGATCAGTCTTCCCATTCATCATCATCCTCAAAATCTTCTTCGTCATCTTCATCCTCATCTTCATCTGGAAAAAAATCACCAAGGCAAACAATCAAAACATATGTATAAATAAAATAACATTACATGATTCTTGGATGATTCCTCCAATTATTTAACTTCTGAAACAAAACCATTCAATTCTGGAGGAATCTGGTTACTAGGACAATTTAAAATGAATCAAATAAAATACATCTAAAGAGTAGGATGGTCAGATGAAGATTAGAACAGGAGTCAGAAGACTTGGGTTCTCGTTCCGTAGTATCTATGTAGTGAATTTCAACCAGTGTTTCTTTATATGAAAACCCACATTTGCGTTGGCCTCTCTGAATTTTCACACATCTCAAATCCAAGAGTGGCCCCTTTAATGACTATTTTTAAAGAAAAGTTGTAAAAAATACACCTGACAGATTGTTCAGCTACCAATTCCAGTTATAATTCTAGTGATAGGCAGGAAACTCATTGATACTGAGGACACTGAGCCACTAAGGAACAGAGCAGGCAGTCCAAATACCCAGCCTCCCCTTCCTACCCTCCTATTCTCTCCTGAACCCAATGACATTGCTCTTTCCAGGTCCCCAATAACCTACTGTTGCTAAAGCTAAAGCTCAATTTCCTGTTCTTGCTTTCTTGTCCGATCACATACATTTGACCCAGATCATCACTCCATCCTCCTTCAAACACTTCATGTGGCTTCTAAGACACTCACTCTCCAGCCTTCAGACCTTATTACACCTTCTCTTCTCTATTCACATCCACTTCTTTAATGATCCCATCCCATTCTGTAACTTTAAATACCACGCCTATTTTAATGACATGCAAATTTATTTTAACAGTCCAGACCTCGCCCCTCAACTCCAGGCTCATAACCAAATGCCTGCATAACATCTACGTTTGAATTTTTAGTAAGTATCTCAAATTTAATATTTACAAAAACCAATCTCCTGATCTTTCCTCTCAAGCCTGCTCCTCCTTAAATCTTACCCCACTCTGTTAATGAAAATTTCACCCCTTTCATGCTCAAGTCAAAAATCTTGGGAGTCATCCTTCACTCCTTTCTTTTTTCCAAACCTCACTTCCAACCCATCAGCAAACTCAAGGATCTCCACAGTCAAAATATACCTAGTATCCAACCCCAGCTCACTGGTGCTACCAATCTGATTCAAACTTTTGCTATCTCTTGCTTGGATCATTGCCATTCCTCAGCTAAGGACCTTCCAGTGGCTTCCCATCACATTCATGGCCTCCAAAGCCTTACTACTGGCCTCCTACCATCTCTCTTACTTCATTACCTTCCTATTCTTTCCTCAGCCACACCGGCCTCATTGATGTTCCTCAACCTCAGGGACTTTGCATTTGCTGTTTTTTCCATCTGAATGAACACATTTTCCCCAGTTTTCTGTATGGCTTACTCCCTAAACTCCTGGTCTTTTTTCAAATGTCACCTCAGTTAGGCCTCATCCTATTTCAAAATGAACTTCCCTCCCACATCCTTTAAGTCCTTATATCTCCCTTTCTGCTTAATTTTTGTCCTTAGTATATATGACCATTTAACATATATTTTCCTAACTTTGTTTACTGTTTGTCTCTCACTGGAATGCATCCATTCATGCTCCATGAATGCAGGGTTTTTTTTTTTTTTTTTTTTTATTCCATGATAAGTATTTGCAGAATGAAATAGCCTATTCTCTCTTTATCACACAGTACAAGAATAAATATGTCTATTTAAGGAAAATAAATATTGGTAATAGATCCTAGATATCCACATTCTTACAGAGAAACAAAGAGAAGAAAAATGACATTTATTGAGCACTTACTATGTGCTAAGTAATCTGCTGGTTAGTTACATATTATTTTATTTATTCTTCATATCAATCATGATTCATGAATTCTCTCCACATAACAAGTAAGAAAATTGAGCTCGATAGAGAGTAAATAATAGATTTAATAAGAACAGAGATCTGATTCTGGTACATCATGCTGGGGAAGCTCTTTAGTAAACCTCAAGCGTTATATCAAGACCCATTGCTTTCTCTTTTGAAAGTAATATCCACTTATATGGTGGTGTACATATGCTTAATAATGGCCTCAGAATAGGGACAAGTTTATTCAAATAAACCTTTTAGGAAATCACAAGAGGACACAAAAAACTTTAAAATTCTTTAGCAAATCCCAGAAAACCCAATTTCTCAGCCCTGATTCTCACAAATCAGGGAAACCTGAATTTCTCATGTCACAAGAATGTCACAGGAATGAGATCCAGAATCTCAAGCCTAATTTAGAGAGTTGCCAGGCATTCTATTAGTATTTCCAGTATAGGAAATGAAATTGCTATTTTTCTGAAGTCGTTCTTCCAGTTTATGGTTATGGCTATGGTGTCCTGGAATCCATTAAGCTTCAGACAGACTAGTCACAGTGGCAGTAACTTTTAAAAATTTGTCCTAAAATCCACATCAGTGTTACTCAACAGCAGGGGAAAAGCTAGCAAAGACTATCATAAAATCAAAAGAAAATAGAACTTCAAATATTAAAATTAAATACACATATGTACATGTAAATATACCTGAAGAATGAATGGCTTTGCTCCTTTTCTGCATCACTTCCATTAATGCACCCACAATTCCTGAAGTGGGTGCAGGTGTTGGTGGTGTAGACTCTTGGCCATCAGATACCTTGGAAAAGAAAGTTAGCAAAATTTAGAAATAAATTCTTAGCAAAAAATTTTTGTCTCCAGAAAGTCTTACGTTTTTAGAATCACTTCCTATTTAAAAAAAGGAAAGGGATAAAAAAGAGCACACAAACCCAGGACAGGATTAACCAAGTTAGGAAGAAATAAACTGCTGCCTTAAAATAATTATTCATATACTCCTTAATGTATAAAGCCAACAACACATTTGTTATTACAATAACAAACCCTTCCCTAAATAATACTTGTCCTTGCAGATGGATTACTTCTGTTCATTTTCATTCTAGAACACAAAGCCTTAGCTGATGAAACTTTAAAACTATTATCAAGGAACATAATTTTAACAAAACTAAGGTAATGTCCAGATCCCTGGAGTTGTTAGGTGAGGACACTTAAGATATCTAAGAGCAAATGAAGAGACTTCTGCTCTCCTAGAAAAACTCAGCTTTACTAACAAGCTTATCACCTTATATACTATATTTATACCTATATGTAATTTTAACTCAAAATGAATTTTCTTTCTCATAGCATTATGAGGAGTTAATCTCTTTAAGGAGATCAGTTAGGTAGCTTTCAAAATATACCTACCTCACAAGGCAACCAACTATCCCTAACTAAAGTACTTCTATCTAGTATAAACTACATTCAAGGGGGAAAAAAAAATCAACCTCAAGGGGTCTCATTAAAATCTAATTTCTATACAAAATACTCCCTGATTCTAACTCTCATTAAAAAAGAGAGAATACAGGAAATCTGTTGAGATTCAGGGAAAAAAAATTTAGAAAGTACTCCTCTAAGTGTACTTTGACTAAAATGAACAGTCATTTATACAAAATATTCATTTTGTTAATTTCGTCTCTGGAATTATATTACCTTTGTAAAGGTAGAATACTGGTATAATTAAAAATGAAATCACACAGCTGTTTCATTTCAATTCTAAGTCATTCTCCACCCCTACCACCCCCCCCTCCCGGCCCCCGCCAAATTACTTTGTTACGGCAAACTTCTTATTTTGTTCTTCACAACTCTTCTCCTAATACTACTTGTCTTTCTGGATTTACAGATCTTTTTCTTTTAAAAATAGTCAAAGTAATTCCCCATAAAATACTGACTCATTCATTAGTATTTAGGTTTTTAGAGACCAGATGTTAACTATTACTGGTATAGAAATGCCACAAATGAAAAAGACAACAGAAATAGTTTCAGAGCTCTGAATGTCAGCATGAGGCTCTCAAAGAAGTATAGCAGCAATAAGGAGAAACAGACTCCCCTTAAGCAAGCTGGTAATACGAGGCAGGGAGCACTGCAGGAGCACGACACTGCCATAAACATGTTTTCTAAAGCACTGACTTAGACATGGTGCTGTCCGAGGTACTATGAACACAGAATTCAAAAGATATGTAAGTGAATACTTACACCTTTCCTGCCAGCTCTTTATAGTAAATCTGTGATCTTATGTTAGTAATTTTCATCACTGAACAAATGATTTATATAGACTGTTAAAGAAACAGAGAAATTTCAACCACAGAATGGTTTCTTAAAAAGGAAATAAAATTATGGACTCAGATCACATATATAGCATGCTAATAATTCACTGATTCATGCCCTCCAGGATATTACTTTGCAGTTAATTAAAAGAAAAAGGTGATTATTTAGGGTAAGGATGGCTTACACTTAGAATGGAACACACATTTCTTTTTCTAAAAGAAATGCAGAGATCAATTTACAGGGTTTTTCGGACAGGGAGAGAGTTGGGATGGGAAGAAATGATGATGGGGAAAATAAAGACGGAATTTAATTCGGCAACTTTTTAAATTAAAAAAAGAGGACACAACTTAATTCATTAAATATAACACCTTATTAGTATCAGCAAATGAGAGAAAGAAACAAAGTTGACTGTGGAAGAGAGAGGAAAGAGAAACAAAAGGTAAGTTACGAGTGGCAGATGTGGGGATGAGGGACACATTAAGTGGCACAGATTCTAAGCTGCAAGCTTGAAAATGACTCCATTAAAACCTGTTATTCACCGTGGCTGTGGTCATTTTGACACTAATTCTTCCCACTAACAACTGTTCAAAATTCTTCAACTGTTCCTGAGAAACCTTTAGTCTAAACTAAAGGGGGAGAGGGAGCAGAGACAACTGCTCACAGCTTAATCATATGGTAAGAAAAAGCTCTAGATACATTTTAAAGATCAGAGTTTTTTAAATCTGTGCTATGCCAATGTTTAAATGTTTTCATTCAATCAGCTGTGTTCCCTATCCACCATTCTCTTCCTAGCTAAAGTTTCGGTGATTGAGAAAGTTACCATAATTCCCTAGGTCACAAAATAATTTTCAATCAAAATCCCCTTCTTTCATCTTTATTTACTGCATAGAAAAATCTACCGTCCATTACCTGTCTGAAGCCCCGCAGAGCAAATGTTCCTGTTGGAACTGACAGACTACATGTAGTCTCAGAAGGAAGTATGTCAACGCTGGCAGTTTAGGTTCTAGAAAAGCGGCCAGCAAACTATTGCCCATGGGCTAAATCTAGTGTGTCCTATTTTTGTAGAACTTTTTAAAGTGAAAAATGAGTTTTACATTTTTAAATGGCTGGAAGAAAATCAAAAGAATAATATTTGTGACACGTGAGAATTATATGAAATTCAAATTTCAGTGTCCCTAAATAAAGCTTTATAGAACACAACCATGCCCATCCAATCATGCATCGTCAGTGCTGCTGCTTTTGTGGTACAACACCAGAACTGAGTGGTTGTGACAGAGACCACATAGCCTGCAAGCCTAAGATATTTACTATGTGGTCCTTTAAAAAAAACCAGTTTGCCCACTTCTGCCTCATCCAGTACAGAGATTTCTTTCCTTTTTCTGCAGAGTCGGATTTTCTACTAATCTAACTTTCAGAACACAGGAACTTTAGAATACAGTTTAGTTTTCATAAAGGTAATGGTCTGAACTTACCAAGGTGATTACAATTGGTCTATAAGTAGAGTTTATTTCTCTATAGTTTGAAGATTTTTCTTTAAATTTAAAGCAAATTTTATTCAGAAGTGAAGTCTAGAACAACAGCAAACATGTTGGAATATTCCACTTACCTGAGGTTCTAGAACAGGCAAAACTAATCTACGGAGACAGAAATCAGACTGGTGATCTTTTTGAAAGGGGGACTAACTGGAAAGAGGCATGAGGGAACTTTCTGGGGTGATATTTCGATTACAGAAGTATGGGTTACACTGGTAATAGGTATAAATGTGTGTGTTTTACCATATGTAAAAATACCAGAAATGCAAAGGGTTAAAAATATGAATACCAAGAGAAAGAGCAAAAAGTGAAATAAAGACTTTCCAAGTTGTCTTATAAATTACTTTAAAAATTCCATTAGGACAGATAGTCTAAACTGAAAAGAACAGATTACTTACAGATTTCAGCTGAATACCCTGTCGTATCTGGTCTAAAAGTGCATCCCTTCCAGAACAGGATACCGGTCGACTGTTTTGTTCCACTTTTTTTAGCTGAGCACCCTCTCTAATTTGATCTAAAAGAGCTGCTTTGTTTCCTGCAGGAGTTGGAACTTGATGGTCACCATCAGAAGGGAGGCCAGGGGGAGGTGGCGGCCCCGGTGGGGGGGGCGGGGGTGGGGGCGGGGGCGGTGCTGCTGACCCCGCCAACGACAGAGGCGGAGGTGGTGGCGGAGGCCCTGCTGGTGCTGAGGAGGGCAGGGCTGGAGGTGGAGGAGGGTACATCCTATTTGGCGGCGGTGGAGGGACTCCTACACCTGGCCTGGACGGAGGCGGTGGTGGAGGTGCAGCTGTGGGAGCTCTAGACGGTGGTGGAGGAGGAGCGCCTCTCCCCCGGGCAGGAGGTGGGGGAGGGCCTGAGCTATGCGGAGGGGGCGGAGGGGGAGGCGGCCCTCCCCTAGATGGTGGTGGAGGAGGTGGTGCTGAAATAAAAACAGAAAAAAAGAAAGCATACTTTTTCCCCCCACAAACATCATACTGGAAAAAAAAACTTACTTCAACATATATAAAAAAAAAAACTATACGAGGAAAAACAAAGGCCTCATCTTTGTATCTTATTTTACAAAGATATGTAAGCACAGATGATATCATTCTATTTGGGAATACTCAACTGAAGATCACCTTCTTGTCGTTTCTTGAAAAATATTAGCTAAAACTGTAGAATTTAGTTTTTAGGAATCAGCATCACTTCTGAAGGTAAGGGAATAAGCACTTTCTTAAATAATAACAAAAATATCACAACAAAACTAAACACTGGTCAATTAGCATTATTTAACATTTTCATAAAAATTAATGGATACCTTCCCTCTTTAAAGAACTGAGTTTTAGTTACTTTATAAAATTAATTTACATTCAGAATTAAATAGCTGATGTAGCATAACCTACCAGAGTTTATTCAAGTTAATCTGAGCTAAACCCAAATTGAATACTTTTTCTTTTAAAATTTAAACCTTTGCCACCTTATGTTTATATTTTATGTCTTCTATTTTCTATACAAGATGGTCAGTAATTCTAGTGATGGCAGTTAGGGAGGCTTACTCAGGTGAAATATTCAACTACTTATTCAGAAGACACAACTAACTATTAATAAATTAACTGAGAATTTCTACACACTGAAAAACCAAAGTTATTAATAAAATATTAAGACTATTCTGGTATTAATCATATTCACATTCTTTTTCTACTTAAGTAAAAATGTAAGATATAACAAGGAAAAAATTCAAGGTACACATTTATTATATTTCTGGAGGCATGATTTTACCAACAGTATACACAAATTTACATAATAATGAACTTCATTACTTCTCCATTCATTTAAAGACTGGAGAGAAAAATTAACTATTTTTAGGAGTAGAGAAATCCTAGAATTCATAAAAACCATTTGTATTTACTGATATAAACTATATTATTGATGGATAGTTCTACAGTCTTACAAAATACAAATGCCAACCCTAACTACAAATAACAAGTACCTTTAGATGTTCAATAACACAATGTTACCAGAGAGGGGGAAAAAGCCCTCATTTCAAAGGAAATAAGAAAGTATCTTCTAATTTAACTTGGGGCAATCATGGGAAATATGCTACCAAATATAAACATTAGATAAAATATGCAGAAAGACCAATACTCACAGGGTATTGTCTCCTTGCATACAAACTTTTAAAAGTAGAAATAATATATATCTGCAAACAGGAGAGTTACCCCACTTAGATGTCAGCCATCACAGAGGAAAGTTCCTATGATTTACATTCAAGGCACACTGGAGGTCTGAGTGTTGCAGCTAAGGTCCACCCAATTCTCTCACTGGATCCAAAGTGAGGAGACTTATTAAACTTGCTAAAAGCAAAGTCCTTTTCTAGCATATTTTGTAATAAAAGAGCAAAACCAGGAGGATATGACATAAATGTATTACGTATACTCTGAATAGGGACAGTACATCAAATCCTTCCAGCAATTTTTTTTTTTTAAAGATTTTTATTGGGGCTCCTGGGCAGCTCAGTCGTTAAGCGTCTGCCTTTGGCTCAGGTCATGATCCCGGGGTCCTGGGATGGAGCCCCGCATGGGGCTCCCTGCTCAGCGGGAAGCCTTCTTCTCCCTCTCCCACTCCCCCTACCTGTGTTCCTGCTCTTGCTGCCTCTCTGTCAAATAAATAAATAAAAAATCTTAAAAAAGAAAAAGATTTTTATTTATTTGACAGAGAGAGACACAGTGAGAGAGGGAACACAAGCAGGGGGAGTGGCAGAGGGAGAAGCAGGCTTCCCGCCGAGCAGGGAGCCCGATGTGAGGTTCAATCCCAGGACCCCGGGATCATGACCTGAGCTGAGGGCAGACGCTTAACGACTGAGCCACCCAGGCGCCCCTCCTTCCAGCAATTTTAATCAGTCTAAGGTTTATATTTCAAATAGTTATGATTTACTTGTTTTTTAATTAAAAGGAAAATAACCACCATATCCTACTATAAAAAGTATTAGTAAATCATTTCTCATGGTCTCATTGAGGACTCTGAATCCACAATCTTTTATACTAAAATGATCTATTTCTTCAGTAGAGAGAATAAAAGTTCTTTCGAACTTGTAGTAAGTACTTTATTGGAATAATTTGCACTCTAGCTATTATTCATTGGAATGGACATTAAATCACTGCCTAGGGGAAAGGAAGCCTTAACTGACTGTGTGTAAATTATTAACTGCATCCAGTTTGGGTACAGCACAAGTTCAGCATTTCTATGATCTTGAAAAGTGACTGGAAACATCTCTATATTTTTATGATGAAAATCTATTACCAACTTTCTCTTTTTTTATAGTCCATATTATTTCTACATAAAAATAAGTATGCAAAAAACATGCCTTATCCCAACGTAAAAATGTGAAAGAATTAAAAAAGGAGAGGAAAGGGCACAATGGGAGTTAGATGTTTCCATGCACAAATATGCCTGCTAAGCAGATACCACACAGACCAAGAGAAAATCTGATGGCCTAGAGACTTGCAAAACTCTATGAGTCACCATAAACACCAGAATCACAATGACAATACTTCTTAGATTTCTAAAAAAGAAATAAAGTGAAAAATATGAAACAAAAGTTACAACCAATAAAACTTCTTACTATCAAAATTTAGTTAAAAAGGAAGAAAGACTGGCATCTATGGAAAAAAACCTTGTCTTGAGGTTATACTACAAAAAAACTCATATACTTAAAAATTATTATTATTGCAGATCAACATTAAGAGTAATAGGTAATTCTCTAGATATTTGACATTTACAGGTATTATACATAGAAATTATAAAGCAATATAAATATAACTAATATTTAAAAGAAATACAGTATTACAGAATTCAGGAAACATTAAAGAACTGCTCTCATGTACTCTCATCAAAGTAAAGCAAACAGAAAAATGCTACTCAACACAAATTTAAATTTATGGGAATACTGACAACTCCCTGAGTAGAACTAACGGTATGTATTTATATTAAGTACCCCCTCCCTGACCCAAATTAATGTAAAAATCTAAGTATATCTTATACAGGTTACTGAAATAACGCCAAATGTGAAAAGCAATCACTAGGAATAAGTATAATAAGCAACAATAAAAACAATGGTGCTGTGGGTAAGAGGTGTTTTTAAAATATCCACATAATTTCATTATAATTATCTAAAGTCAGATGAAATACGAGCTCAGACTCATACAGAAATAAATTAGTTTGAGTAGAGGACAAATAATCTCACTGGATGCTTGGAAGCAGGATAAATGAACTCTAGCTTCTTTGAAAGTAAACATATCAAAGCATACATAATTTAGAGCACTGGGTCAAATAACATCCCACATACATACCACTCCACTGTGGTGGACATACACAGATTATTGAGTTAATGGCCTTCATTTTTTTTTTTTTTAAGATTTTATTTATTTATTTTGGCGAGAGAGAGGGAGGGAGAGAGAGAGAGAGAGAGAGCGAGCGAGAGAGTGGGCACGAGCAGGGGGTGGGCAGACTCTCCACTGAGCAGGGGGAGCCCGATGTAGGACTCGATCCCAGGACCCTGGGATCATGACCTGAGCCGAAGGCAGATGCTTAACCACTGAGCCACCCAGGCACCCGAGTTAATGGCCTTCAAACAACTGCACAGACACACAAAAAATATGTTGGAAATCACAAGTCTACTACTTTTAAAAACCTGATTACATAATTTTACAAAACAAGTTTCAAGAGATTTGATCAGCAGATTTTACTATATATATATTTTTTTTCACAAAATATATTTTTAAGGCAACTTCATAAACTTCTCTAATTTTTTTTATACTTTTGAACACATATGTTCTGCCTGGAAAACATTTCCTTAATAAATCATTAGTCTTTTTACTCTTCCATTGAAAAAATTTACCTTCTATAAAGTAATTCTTTGGTGTCTAAAAGATTCCACATTGGGAGTTAGGTTCTTGAGTATGACAAGAATTTAACTTTGTTCCCAAAGCATGTTTTTTTAATGCCTGTATATTTTTTTGTTTTAGGTAATTCAACTGAGGACTTTGCCTAATTTGATGCTTTAAAAGCAGCTAAAATAAAAAGCAATCACAATAAAGTTTAAAAAACAAACCCAATCAAGTTAATATAGTCAACTCTTAGTCACCGGAATTCAGGTGTAAGGGCAGATGTATGGATGGTCTAGTAAATGTCAAGAGTAGACTTATAAACTTATAAATTCAGAGAGCTCAGAGAGATGTCAGGCGACATCTGGTAGAGTAACGCCAAAGTGTGTGGTAACAGTGGACAAAAAGAGAGTCAAGGAACACATTAATAGTAAATGTGACTCACTCTGGGAGCATTTAAAAACAATGGTGCTATGCCCAAGGTGTTATTAAAAATCCATTCTGGAAATGTAATTTTTTCAAAAAATAAGATAAATTAGCATCACACTAGTTTCATTAAACTAACACCGTGTTTCTACAATAGCAGTTATTGACTATATACTTGTTTAAGTATCTGTTTCCACACTAGACTGTAAGATTTCTGAGGACAGAAACTGTTTATTTATATCTAAATATCCTGAGTGAAGACAAGTGCTGACATAATAATGTTTACTGAATATATGAATGAATGAAAGGCCGAACGAACATCAGTAGTGAAAAAGATACAGGTAAGTCAAACCCCTAATCTAAAATGACAGTTAAATTCCTCAGAAGAATGCTTTAACTAGAGCTTTTGTTCCAGTACACAAAAACTAGGAAGAAGAAAAGCAAGCCCAAATGAATAAGGTGGCAAAGAAGAGTTTTTAATAAGAAAAACCTTATCAAAATTTAAGTTATATCAAAATAATGCAAAGCAACCAGGCCAAGCTACTTATCTATAAATTCAAATATTCTGCTTAAGGAAAGTTCACATGAACGTGTGTAGCTGTCTTCCATGAAACTGACCTCAAAAGATTCACAAGGAAAAAAAGATTTGAATGCCTGAATAGAAAAAAAAAAAAAAAAGTTACCTTGCCTTCGTAGTTCATTTTTAACAGCTTCTACACCTCCTGTTTTTTCAATGAAGTCATATATAACTTTTGATGTTTCTCGGTCTTTAAGTTGTGCCTCTGAGATTCCACACATATCAAAAAGATTCTTCAATTCTGGATCCAAATTATTCAGCTACAAAAGATAAAGTAACTGTTAACTATAAAATCTACCCCAATTTTTAAAAATAAGCACGATCAAATTCAAATTTAGTTCTCACCTGAGTCCTTTATGAAATTATTTTAAATTTATACACTTTTAACATGGTTAGATTATTTATAAGCCAACTAAACTTTCTTATTTAAAAAACAGAAAAGATAAGAACAAAGAATAAATTTTTCATTTTTTGTTCCCTATCTTCAAAAAGAAGGCATCTCATTTAGAGTTTTACTAACCCATTCCTGATTCAGATCTCCAATGTTCACCTGTTACTAAATAAGATTTAGGTATAAACACAAATAAACAAAAAAAGTAAATCAATTTGAAAATCTGAAGGACCTCCTTATAACTTCAGCATCCTGTACAGAGCCCAACATAAAGAAGCATTCAATAAATGTTGTGGAGTTAACATTGTAGTTAGTAACAAAAAAAACCCAGAAGGATTTCTGACCCCAATCACAAATATTTCTCTTCAAAATAATTTTTCCAAATCCTGATTATCTGTCAAATGTGAAATACATATTACTTAAGCAACCAAAATAGATTAAAAATGTTAAAAACACTTATTTTTGCCAGCAGTTGCCTACCTTGCTCATAGTGCTAAAAATTAAATAATGACAAAACTGCCAAAAAGAATAGAATGAAAAGATTTAGATAATTTAACAACTGGATATTCAGAATTTGATTATAGTACTTTCCAGTAATTTGGTATATATTCCCCTAAAATGATCAGTTAGCAGAAATAATTCTCTTGGCTGTCAACACACAAGAATTTTATAGTATGTAAGATTTTATCTATCTATCTATCTATCTATCTATCTATCTATCTATCTATCTATATCTATCTATGAGAGAGAGAGAGAGAGCAAGCAGGGGAGGAGCAGAGGGAGAGGGAGAGAGAGAATTTTGAGCAGACTGGCTGAGCGCAGAGCCGACACGGGGTTCGATCTCATGACCCTTAGATCATGACCTGAGCCGAAACCAAGAGTCAGACTGAGCTATCCAGGCACCCCTGTATTACAGTACATAAATCCAAGGAGTATAAAACCTTTGTCTTTACAGACATAGCCATAAATGACAGAACAATACTAAGGTTTCCAACCTCAGTGGTATATGTACATAAACACATTCAAATAAACGCTAGAATTCACAAAAATGAATAATAAAAATCTACCCATAGGCCACAGCATTACCACATATTTAGAGCAATAATATTTATGGCTTGAAAAGACACTTACATCAAAGCCAGTATTTGGATCCCAACCAACATGTCCAATGTGCCTAAAGAAGTAGACCAAAAATACATATAAATAAAAAATAGAAAATACATAAAAAGCATTTAAAACATAAAATATATGAAATCCAATCCAACCAATAAATTTTGGGGCTGAACTAATAGTTCTCACAGACATACCCATATTCAGGGAAAAACTGTGTGAGGAGTCAGGAGGCCAGGATTAAAACTGAGTTTTAACATTTTTGCACAATCTGTCTGAGCATCTATTTCCTCAACTGTCAAACTAGCAGAAGAATATAAGCATATATACATGAGAGGATAGGAATTTTGTAATGAGCTAATGAAATGATGTATATGAAAATGCTTAAAATATGTCAAATAAATACCAAAGGTTTGATGCCTACTACAGACTAAATGTTTGTGTCCCCTAAAAATTCCTATGTTGAGACTTAATCCCCAATGTGATGGTATTTGGAGATAAGGATTTGGGGAGGTGATTAGGTTTTGAGGGTGGATCCCTCAAGAATGGGATTAGTGCCCTTAAAAAAAAAGGCCCCAGAGAGTTCTCTTGCCCTCTTCCTCTTTTTTTTTTTTTTAAAGATTTTATTTATTTGACAGAGAGAGCACAAGCAGAGGGAGAGAGAGGGAGAAGCAGGCTCCCTGCTGAGGAAGGAGCCCAATGTGGGACTCGATCCCAAGACCCTGGGATCATGACCCGAGCCGAAGGCAGCCGCTTAACCGACTGGAGCCACCCAGGCGTCCCTCTTGCCCTCTTCCAACATGTGAGGAAGACAGCTAGAAGACAGCTGTCTATTAATCAGGTAGTGGAACCTCACTAAATTTTGCCTGCCTCTTCCCAATCTCCAGAACTATAGAAATAAAATTCTGTTGTTTATAAGCCACTCAGTCTACGGTATTCTGTTGTAGCAGCCCAAATGGACTAAGACAGTGCCTCTAGGCAATTTCCAAATACCATTTATAGGGAAAAAGTGAGAAATCATTATGTCCAACAGTTATTTAAAGAAACAACTTAATCTGATATTTCTTTCCTGATGAGAAGGGTAAATAAACTGTAAGATGCACAGGAAGTCTACTGAGCAATAGCCTTAAAAAAAAAAAAACACATACACAGACAAAAAAACCCAACTCCAACAAAATCTATAGCGAAAAAAGTATGCAGATGATAAATGTAAGGGTCCTCCAAAAAAGAAAACAAAATTTTCTAACAAGGTAAAAACCAAGAGCAGCAGTGAGTAAATGAAAAGATAAGAAAAACAAAAGAACTCTCTTACTGGAAATTGCTTGGTGTTCCAATATCTGCCTTGGTTAATCTCTTCTTTTTAGCTTTTCCTTTTTTCTTTTCTTTGGTATGGGAGATGTTGTTGACTTGTGGACCATAAAATCTATTGGTTGTGATTTCTGGATTTTTTATGTCAACGGTTGCCATGGGTAGATTAGGACCTGCAAAACAATATGAAAAGGATATAATTTAAGATAACAATATTACATTCATAATTTATAATTTAAGTATCTTTCTCTGAAGTAGGACCACTTCACTAATATAAATATTTAAATTTTAAAGTTGCATGTTAATTTTTTATAAATAATGGATAAAGTACTGCCAAAATTTCAAAAGCCTATAATAAATTCTTAAACACATTAGCATAGGTGGTATTTCAAAGAGAACTTACATTTTTGTAACATTAAATCTCATGGAAAATAAAAATTTTCAATAAGAATTTAAATTTAATTGGTCTAAATCCCTTAAATTTTGACTATAATAGCCTTACACACATCCCATTACTTGTGGGTAAAGTGGTATATATGACATAACAAGCATAATAACAATTAAAAAGAGCATATACTTTTTTTTTTTAAATCTGACACAGAAATCTAGTCTTACTTCTTTGTTTCAACTTTATTAGTCCATGAGGGAAAAAAAGTACTTATACAATTATTACTACTATTTTTTCCAAAACTACCATATATAAGTCCAGTAATATTTTCCCTATCAGTATACGTACACTTTGACTTTGGAAGTACAGGGCTCAAAAATGAGATGGAAAAATTCTCAAAACACTCATCTTCCACAAGAATCAATAGTGAAAATCTCCAGCATCTTCAGATATTGATAATAGCACCTTTAGTAGTGACACTAAATATAATATACAAAACCTGTTTTATAATTCACAAAAATATCCTTGGCTTTAAAAGCATGACAGTCTAAATGAAATGTATTCAATTTAAAAATTCCTTATAAATTTAACTAATGGCATCACATGTTCCTATTTTAATACAGGATTCTCTGACAAAACCTCTTACTAGAAAATTCCTCTGAGATGAGTATATTAATGACAACTTTCAAAATGGTGGATAAAATGCAACCACTACTGCACAGAGAAACAGTTAACATAGCAGGCCCGAGACTGCCATCCTTAGAAAGGGCTGCTTGTAAGATTTGCTCTGAGCTGGCATCTGGAAAATGGGATTGCAAGAGGGTTTTTATCATTCCCTGATAAGATGGGCTTATTGTGCCTCAACTATTTGTGCTAACAATGTGCTTAATGCTAAACACCTGCGTTCCTTCTGGGAGTCTAGTATCTTGGTATGTGCTAGAAAGAGGAGGACTACGTGATTAACCCCCAATAAACTCTGAGCACTGAGTCCCTAATGAGTTTCTCTTTTAGACAACATTTACCATGTGTTGTAACAACTTATTACTGGACGAATTATACGCATTCCCCACGACTCCAATGAGAGAAGACTATGGCAAAGTTGTATGTGGTTTCCCTCAGACTAACCCCATATGTCTTTCCCTTTGTTGATTTTGTTTTATATCCTTTCACTGTTGTAAATCTTTGCCATGAGTATCCCACTATATGCCTGGTCCTGTTGAGTCCTTCTAGCAAATCAGCTGTGGGGTGGTCTTGAGGCCCCCTGACACAATCATAGAATGGAAAACAGAAATCCCAAGAAATTACAGGCTAATGTATATTAGGTGATAACTAAATGCTAATTTGACTGTATTTCTTCAACTGCATTAAAAACCTCAAATGTAGCCTATTCATTAAAGTTATATGAAAGAACAATGTTTATCTAAATGGGTATATTATATATAACCCATGTTCTCTCTTTCAACTCTACTATTCAAGATGAAATAGAGCTAAAATAAAATTTACAAAAGCCATCTACCACCTTATCGGACAAGTAAACAATTTGGAAAGATTTGTATTTTTAATATCACCAAAATTCAGCTATTTTCCCTCCATATTCAAAGTCTACTTACATGTAAGTGTCTAAAAGTTCTATTGGTATTTTCATATAAAATTCCATGGGAAATTGCTCATATCGGCAAGAAATAAAGAAACTGTTATTTGAAAAAGATGGAAGGTAGTGAATAATACGGATAAGACCATTAAAATAAGCTGATTCAGTGTCAAGGAATAATAAAAATGACTGGATCAAAAGTTAAAGGTTAGTTATGCAATACAGAAGGCTTATGAAATAGTAGATAAAGGCTGGATTTTCAAATTTGTTCAGGTATCAGATTTCAGTGTTTACTACAGTTTCACAAAGTAGGGGACTTATTGAGAATACCCAGAACTCAAGTGTTGGAGGGTTAAATTGGTGCCATACTCAAAGGCTTATCTACTGATCTGTTTCTACTTCTCTTCCTTTCTTTTCTGCCTTCCCTCTTATTATTTAGCTTTACAAATCAGTATCAGCAACACCATCCATGGTAAGATGCCGCAAAACACTACCTACTCTCTTATCTTTATACTTAATAGAATTTAAGAGTTAGCTTAAGACAGATATAGGAGTATCAGAATGAGGCACTTTCCTTATACATTACCACCCCTCCTGAAATAGGTGTTCAAAGAGCAACTATAAAGAAGCAACCAGATTCACCATTTAAAAAATAACAAAACTATTACTAGTTTTTAGAAAAAAACAAAGATGAAATATTTTTATGCTGCTTTAGGTTATATAAAAGTTATTATTATACCATGGATGTTTTAAATGGTAATAGAATGGGGTAAAGTGAAGTTTAATAGTTTAAATTATCCAAGCTAATAAATTCTTTTCTGGGAAATTTAATAAAGTTAAGATTCTTGTAAGCCTGATTCATAACTCACTAGAGAAAATAATTCAGTCATCTCTGAAGAAAGTTTAAGGATAAAGAAGACAGGAACAAAATATAAGTGGTATGTGGAATGAATAACAAAGTTTAACTCATACTGTAGTCAGACTGTTTCCCCTCCTCCCTCTACCCAAAACAGAGGTGTGGATATATTGTTACTGCCACGCAGTTTATAAAGCCTTTGAATTAGCTATTTAGCGTCATTACACATGAATTTCATTAGTACTAGTTAAAACATTACTTAAGTCTATACAGGAAAATTCAAATTATACAGAATACAGAAAATTAGTATTAGCTGAGAAATTAGAGTGTTTTTCTACACTTTTCATCTTATAGATGAAAACTAAGGATGAGAAGGGTCAGGTAACCTATCTAAAGTCACACAATTAGTGGCAAAAGCAAAGGTGAACTCTGCTATCTTGGTTCCTAGTCCACTACCCTATTAATTACTACTGTACTTTTTACACTAAAGTCAAACCATAAGGTGATTGATAATGCTAACATTACCAATGTTATCATATATCATTTCCTTATCAATTAGTTCTCTCAATTTATATAGTTCAACAGTCCATCATTCAATAAATATAACTTCCAAAATTTAGAAAAAAAAAACTCCTACATAATCATGGGATTTAGGTACTTGGTTATTTCTGTTGACAATAGTCACTTACTTTAGAGTTTGAAGGTGTTTGGAAGTAAGTTTAAAACGGTGTTCTAAAGCCCAATTAAATATTTGTTTCAAAAGTGACAACCTGTGTAAGGCACGGAGTCATTTTTTAATAAAGTTTATGGAAGATCTGGTAATACAGATACTCCTAAATCACTTCTAGTAAAAATTAAATTATTCCATTTATGAAATTGTACTCATCCTAAGAACATATACTAAGTAAATATATAATGGAGGGGGCTGTTTCCCTTCTTTAAAAAAAAAAAAAAACCAGTCAAATGACAAATTACCATTTTCTGATTAAAGACAACTGTCACAGAAAAGGCTTTTTAATATTCTCACTGAACAGCATTTCTAGTTAATCTTTAGAACTAAAAGAACAAACTAAAGTCTTCCCCTTAATTACATAAAAAGCAGAGAACTCTCACCAAGGTAAAATAGTTGAGAAACAGGTGGCCCAGAGGCCTCTGATGTCAAGCAGTCATGAAGCTGAGAACAAATCATTGGAAAGCATCTAAGCTAAAAGGTGAGACTGACCAATAAAGAAAAAAGAAAGATGTATGGATTAGGAGTTAGTGAGGAAGACACTGAATTGCATTTCAGGAATATATGTTACTTCTACATAAAGTGTCTTTTTAATAGTTACAATTTGACAAAGTCTACTAAACTGATAATCCAAATGCGGATTTAAGACAAAACACCTGAGTGGACACAGCAAGGTGGTTAAGGTGTCCACTGCGCCTGACAGTAGTGTACCAAATGCAGAAAAGTAATATGCTGCCCTCAAAACAGTAGTCTCCACATAGTGGGGAGAGCAAGACAAATGACTGCACTGCAGGAAAAAAAAATATGAAAACTTCTATTAATTATTTCATCCTTTATTGTGTATGTAATATGTTAATACCATATTATATGTATATTTTATAAGGAAATATACAAATGCTGGCAATACATGCCATATAATTTTGCCTTTTAATGATACTATTTTTTTAAACTCTCATTTAATGAAAAGAAGTTTGGGATCACTGTGCCAAAGGATTAAAACTACAGATCTAAAGATTTAAAACCAAGAGCAATCACAGAGAAAGAAACTCTATTTAATTATGAGTACCTCTCCTACTAGGAGTAATAAAATTGCAAGACACCACTGTCACCAAATTCATGAGGTGCCTGGTAGCTCAGTCGGTTAAGTGTCAGACTCTTGGTTTGGGCTCAGGTCATGATCTCAGCAGAGTCGGCTTGTCCCTCTCTCCCTCCCCTTCTGCTCCTCCTCCCACTCAGAGCTCTCTCTCTAATAAATAAATAACATCTTAAAAAAAAAAAAAAGAATATCCAAATTCTGTGTATTCACGGATTAGGTGCCTCTGCAGAAGTACATTTTATATGTACTGAAAACTCCATAAAGTATTTATATTGTTAACTTTAATTATTTATACAGCATCTACACTTTAAAACCTCAGGTTACTTTTACCAAAGATGCCACTTCTAGGAAGCCTTCCCCGCTGGTACTCAACACATGCTTACAGAATGCAGAATAAATTCAAAAGGATTAAAATATTGAGCATGCAACAAGGGAAAAAAATTCTAACACTGCTGTAAGAGTTCACAGATGAAGGACTTCTGACTCAGCTGCTTCTGCTTCCTTTGCCTCTGCCTCGTATCAGCTGTGTAACTTAAGGCATGTTATTTACCCAGTCTAGGTCTCAGTTTCTCCTTCAAAATCTTATGGACATAGCACAGTGATTAAGGGGCCAGGCTGTGGAGTTAGACTGCTTGAGACTGAATCCTGCTCTACCACTTACTAGTTTTGTGACCCTGAGCAAGTTACCCACCTTTGCCCCTGTGTGCTCTTCTATAAAATGGGGATAATAGCAGCCATTTCATAAGACCGCTGGACAGTGCGTGGCTGGTAGTAAATGATCATTACATAGTAGCTGCTAAAATTATTGTTGTCATTGTCTTCATCATAACCAGTATTTAGTTATACTATGCTAAGTACTTTGATTACTTCGTTTAATCTCCACTGCAGTCCTATAAAAAAGTATTAAAATTTCCACTTAAAAGACAAAGTCAAAGTATACAATACTTGGCACAAGGTAAGTCTTACTGAAGGTAGTCATTTTTTAAAAAAATTATAATAAGGTAAATAATCCAAAATTTAATACAGCAATATTTGGTTCATGTTTTCATATCAGGAAAACAAATTTAAGGACAAAATCAGAAATATATCTGATTAAGAGAAACAAACCCTAACAATCACCAATAGCTGTCACATATTGTTTGTTTCCTGGAATAAGCTATCTAAATTCTAATGAGAGGATGTGAGATGCTTTAAAAAAAAAAAAAAAGCCGTATTTTCCATTATAATTAAGGTTCCTGGAGCAATGGTTCCTTTCCTCCACAGGGTCAGGGACCCAATTTAAATGCGATGAAAGTTCTGCATCCTCTCTCCCCAGAGAAAATATATACACTTAAGAATTTACCACACTATTTCAGGGAGGGTTTATGGAGTCCAGGATAAGAATCTCGCCCTAAAGATGTGGGACTTTGTCCTTTCTATTTTGGAATGTACACCTTTCTGGTATATATGTTTTTGTTTTTTTTAAATGAATTCTCAATACTTAAAGTGCTCATCATCAAATTAAGGAGGGTAATATACAGCTACTATTACTTCTAAACACACCATTAAAGTCAGTGCTCATTCTCACAGAGGCTAGTTTCATATTACCAGTATGAAATAATATTTCAAAATAAAAAAACATAAATCTTAAAGTAAGAAGTGAACAAGTATGCTACACAAAATTTACTACCTTTAAGGAAGATATTAAGTCAATATTATACAGTTCCTAAACTTAATCAATTGTCAATACAGAATGAAGATGTAATAGTGATCTTCACCCTACATAGTCCTCCTTCATCCTATAAAAAAGCCAAAGAATAGTACATTTCTAAGACTCATCTTTGTTATTTTTAAAATGACACAATAAACTACAGTATTTGATCACAGATATTAAAAATTAAGTATTAATGTATGATACATGTTTCTAAAAGGATTAAACAACCATCCAAAATCTTCTAGATCAATAATTTGTATCAAAGAGCTTACCATTTGGGGGGTCTCGTCTCTTCTCTGTTAGAAAATAAATTAAAATAGTATTATTAGACATACACAATACAAAAATCAACATAAAAAATTAATTCACCTAAATTCTGTCTTATTCCTAAATCAATGTATAAGTGGCTAAGAAAGGTTTCTCTTAGGAACTGACATCTGAATAAAATAAGAGAGGGAACAACATATTTAAAGGCCCTAAGGAGGGAACAGCATGAAGGAACATCATGAAGCTTGGACTAGAGTGAGCCAACAGAAGAGAAAAAGGAGACCCAGGGACTGGATCATATAGGGTCCCACAGGCCATGGTAAGGAATACAGATTGTATTCTATATATGATAGGAAGCTATTATAGGGTTTTCAGTAGGGCCAGTGACATAATCTAATCTATGTTTTTAAAAGTTAACTTTGGCTACTATGTGGAAAAGAGATCATAGGGGGCACTGAGTGGCAGCAGGGAGACTAGTGAGGGAGTTATGGTAGTCCAGATGACAGATGATGGGGGCTTAGATGGGGGGGGCAGCAAAGGTGATGAGAAATAGATCCGGGATATGTTTTTGAAGGCAGAGACAACAGACTCACTGATAGTATTTACGAGAGACCATGGTAAGCCAGAGCAGAGCCTTTTACCAAGTTGGGGAAGATGTGGAGAGGAGTAGGAACAGGTCTAACTGGGGTTAGGGAACATGGCTCAAATATTCTGCTCAGACATGTTAAGTTTGAAGGTTATTCTGATGCCCAATTGAAGTAAACAAGTCTGAAGGTTGGGGGAAACGTCAACAAATTTGGGGGGGCATCAGCATATGGAGAGTTTTCAAAGCTACAGGACTCAATGAAAGCGCAAGGGTAATGAGAGATCTGATCACTAAAGCAGACCAAAATAATAATAAAAAGCTATAGAAGATTAGGAAGGAGTAAATCGAGGAGGACTATCAATCCTTTGCACTCAGACTCTTACATACCAAGTTTGATATCATTTTGGCTTTAAGAAATTCAAAAGTGGTTGAAGAATTTTAAACAAATGTAATTTCCACAGATTTTCTAATATAAAATTGCCCAAAATTATAAGAGAAATACCCATAAATAAGGATATAATAATTAGTTCATAAACAGCCATAAACTAAAATTAATAGGATTTAACTGGGGGACAAGTTAAAAAATCCTGGCAATGGGAAACACAAATTTATTACTCCATCTGGTGGTCTGATGAAGTAACTTTCTGAAACACTGGACATAAGCAAGTCCTATCTATGTCAATGAATGTCAATCTCCCATTTCCCAGGTGATGTTATCTCTGCAACCACAGAGGAAATACTTCTTAAACTGATAACACAGATATGGAAATATACTGAGATAAATATAAAGTTCAGAGGATAAGTTCTAAAAAGTAATTTACAAGTAAGACACTAACCGGGCTTGAGAGCCATTCATATGAAAAAAGTGCGAGTTTGGTTGAACAAAGAAGAATGGGAGCTACTGGTGTGAGGTATTTGCTAGAAACATTTGCAGAACAGTGTTTAATCAAATCAAGAGGTATTTTAGTATCAACTAGTAAAACTACTTGTGGAGTACTGTGTTCAAATATGACCACAGTATTTGAAGCTGGGTCATTTCTTCAAATCTGGACCATCTGAAGAAGACATAAAAATCTATAGTGGATTCAGAGCACAGTATTTGGGATGATGCGTCTAGAAACTACATCATGTGAGGAGTAAGAAATTGAAACTGGTTAAACTAAAGAAGTAAAGGCATGAGAACATGATAGATGGCTTCCAGTATTAAATAGCTACTGGGAGGAAAAGAAAACAGACTAATTCTTTGTTGCTCCAAAAGTCAGACTCCATGCATCTAAGAAAGAGAGGGGAGGCTGGAGTTTGACTTAGCATGAAGCACTACCCAATGATCAATCAGCGGCCTCCCTGATCTTTCTGCTTCTGAAACACCATGCTTAAAAGTTTAGGAACTACATAAAACAAAATTCCTGTACCAGCTGAAAGACACCTTTAAGTGACCTTCCTATTTCAAAGTCAATTAGTCTATATTTTAAGAAATATTTTTTACTTGTTTTGATTTGGAAATGTCACATATTTTGACTATAAGGAGCCCCACAGAGCCCCTGGCCTAGGACCTGACTATGTCACTGAAGTAGAGCACTGAACCATAAATTATTCTATACCTTTAAATCCTTTCCTAGCATGGAATCAAGTAATTCATGTCCTTGGTCCCAAAAAGAAGTAACAAAAAACAGGTCCCTGATAATTCTGTTTACTCATTACAGTTGAGGTATGATAAGGCAATTGTGAGGCAAAACTTAGTTCATTTTATTTTCATTTTTTATCTCACCTCCCTCTTGAAAACCCATTAAAATAACAATAAAGATGTACAAAATGGAATACATGATTTTACATTTCTGTTTTCTGGATCCAATGTCTTATTTTTTCAAGGCTTAGTTCCTTTTAGTGGTAAAGCACATCCTGGAATACAGTGATCTTCAAAACTGTGGTAACATGTACCCCCAGATGTACAGAAAAACTTTCCAAGGAGTGTACGGCATAGCTAGTTTGAAGGGGATCTATTTGGTGATCGCAACTCCCATATGTCCTTTCTCCTAAAACTCATCTTCTTAAGATGATGATTTTAGAGAGGTTCACCTTTCCTAATCACCCTTCTCCCACCTGATGACAGAAAGGCCTAGTACACTGTTGTCAAATATTTCTGTATCAATAAATTTAAAATTCTATACTAGACTGCATCATTCTCTATTTTATATGTATTACAGTCTCATGCATTAAACTACATTCCTTACGGTTTTATAACAGACAACATTAGGGACAAAACAGAGACAAAACAATGTTAACAGACTTTGTTTGCAATTTAGCTTATTTGCTTCTAGGCTTACCTAAAAAGTCTTTGTTGACAAAGTATTAAATATTCTAAGAATCTAAGTTAAGAACAATGCCATAAAAATGCAAGTTTAAGAGTCAGTATACATGGAATGTTATCAACAAAAAAGGTTATCAGAATGAGTTCTTCAGTAAATTTGAGAAAAATTCTTAATAAAAATATTTCTCTTAAGGATTAGTGCATTTTTTTTTTTTTTTGTAAGGGGCCAGAGAATAAATATTTTAGGCTTTGTGTGCCATAGTCTTTGTTGTAACTACCCAACTGTTGTGGCACAAAAGCAGCCATTAGATGTATTATACAGACAAAATGGAAACCAATGAGCGTAGCTGTGTCTCGCTAATACTTTATTTATAAAAACAGGTGTGGGTCAGATCGGTCCCATGAGCCATAGTTTGCCAGCTCCTGTTTAAAAGAATTAAAAAAAAAAAGTTTACCAGATTTCCTTTGTCGCCGGCCCAACAAGTCTGTAACTGCTTTTCGGAATTTTTTTGCTTCTTCTTCATTGGCAAAATTAAGAGCAACTTGACAAGTCTGAAATATTTTTATTAAAAAAGGTAAACAACAAAAAACATGAGTCTAGCTTTATTTAATAAAAAAGTTGATAACAAAGTACATTTCTAAAGAAGGAAAGCTGAGTTTACTAGCAGACAAGAGCTTAGCTTAGCTTAGTTTTAATTTTATCTGAATAACTTAAGAATACTGAAAGCATGGAGAAGGCAAAGTAAAAGACTACTATTAGAAAAGTTGCCTCTCACAGTAGACATTCAAATATTAAACGGAATACTCCATCTTCAACAACAACAAAACGAGCAAATTGAATTTGATCTTTCAATAGAACTCTACAAAATGATTTGGATTTCAGAAAAGGCAAACACCGGAAAAGTTGGTCAAATGCAGGTCAGCTCTATCTTCACTAGGTTGTATGTATTATTTAAATTATAACCTTAATTCAGATAAATTATTAAAGATGTGGAAACACACTGACATCGATTATGGCATTTTATACACACTTTTATATATGTACATATATTTATATTTTATTAAGAAAAATGTGAAAAATAACAGCTAGAGAAGAAAATACTTTTTGAAAAGATATATCATCTAATCTAAACTTTTTTCTCATTATACAAAACTTAGGAAATACAAATATGAAAATAAAGAAAATTAAAATCGCCTATAACCTAGTTAGACAATCCCTGTGAGCATACAGTATGGAAATGCTTCTAACATCTTCCTCAAGTTTATGCAATAAATTTTTAAAATTCTATTCTCCCCTTATACACATTTATTGTATTTTTGCACTCTTCTAGGCCATGAACTATTCTTTCACAAAATAATTTGAATGGCAATATAACGTTCAATATTTAAAAGATAACATGGATTAGTGGGCAAGTAAGACTTCATTTTTATACATAAGAAAACTAAATACCGGAAAGATTAAGCTATCTATCCAAAGACAAAGATGACAAAAAACCAAATTTCTTTTCTACATAGCAAATTATATTTACAATACTCTTTGGAATCTTTTTTTTTTTTTTTTTTGGCCCTTTAAAATCTTAGACATTTCTGGGGCACCTGGGTGGCTCAGTCGTTAAGCATCTGCCTTCGGCTCAGGTCATGATCCCAGGGTCCTGGGATCAAGCCCAAATCAGTCTCCCTGCTCAGCAGGAAGCCTGCTTCTCCCTCTTCCACTCCCCCTGCTTGTGTTCCCTCTCTCGCTGTCTCTCTCTCTCTGTCAAATAAATAAATAAAATGTTAAAAAAATAATAAAAATTAAAAAAAAATCTTAGACATTTCTTCCTATTTAGCTATACTATCTATGAAGAAGCTTTTAAAAGTAAAATAATTCTTTTTACTTTATACAATGTTTACACGGAAAGCTCATAAATGCTTTCCACAGACAAATATAAAAACATTTACATTAAACAGGGCAATAAAAAAAATATGACTTACATCTCCAGCAAAGGTATGAAAATATCCTCTAGGACTATTATATACAAAGTTATTGTATAGCTCTTGCTCCCACAATAGTTTCCCATCCTAGAAAAAAGTTAAAATAAGAGTTACCAAAAAGATAATCTCTAGGAATAAAACAAAATAGATGACTCATATTCAGGGAATTAGCTTTTACATGCACAGAAAACACACGTGTATAAAACATAAATAACATAATTTAATCAGTAATTTCTTAACAAAAGAGTAAATTCTGGATGTTTCTTTCAAAAAACTACATAGCAAATGAGTTTAATTCAGTATGCTAAGACACAGTCTCATTAGCCTTGTATTCCCAAATATAGTTACTCAAATACAAAACTAGAACAATTACTAGATCATCAATGTTAGATAGAAGGACTAGAATACTGTTGTACATGCACTGATTATCAATGCATAGTTCCATTAGCAATAGACTGTGTGCTATCAAATATTACAGAACAGTTCATGCTCTCTTCCTCAATTCTGTAGATTCTGGGAGGGTCAAATATACCTTCTCTGTATTGCTCATTAACAATTTTTGAATTCCTAACTTATACACAGTGACCCTCTAATTAAATACTAGTAAAAGCAGTTAGTGTTGATCATGTGCAGAAAAAGACTGATGATTAAAGTGCACCGAGGTTACAGTATAGTTAAGAGAACCATGGATGACTGGATTGTCATATCTATGGCTGCAGTAGAAGAAATATAATTAACCTAATACCAAAGGTGGATAACTGCAAGTATTCAGCATTGGTTATCTATAATTAGAAATAAGTGGTTAGAGAAATATAAGTATTGTCCTATTCCGAAATCAAAGTTCTACCTAGACCATGACTTAAAGATAATTCAGAAAACACTGTACGCACATATAATGCAATTCCTTTCTTCTCAGTGGAGTTATATGCACACTTGATTTCTAAACAGTGCTTCTCACTGGTGTTGAGAAATATGTCATAAAAACTAAACAGTTTTTTTCGAAACATGCATGTGTTCCCTATCCCCTAGAATCACTGCCATAGTGAGCGCCCACTACAGGAATATGCCATGTCTCTCAGCTGTCCTGGCGGATGGAGAAGCGGATGTTAAGAAGCACAGTTACAAAGTACAGTAACTTAAATCTTATTTAATCTCAGGGAAACACTTTGCATTAGAACCAGATGGTTCTCCCATTTTACAAATAAATAAGCCAAGGCCCAGAGAAGTAAAACAGTTTGACTACAATCTATCTATCCTTAAGCATCATCCAGGAGAGTTCAAAGTCAGTTTATTTTTGGTAATTATTCCATTATACTTACTGCCATATCATATAAATATTACAAAAGCCTACCTATAGAAAAGGTTTTGTTTTTTTTTAATTTATTTATTTGTTAGAGAGAGAAAGAGTGAGGCAGGCAGAGGGAGAAGCAGGCTCCCCGCTGAGCAGGGAGCCCAATGTGGGACTCGATCCCAGGACTCTGGGATCATGACCTGAGCTGAAGACAGACACTTAACCGACTGAGCCAACTAGGCGTCCCCTATAGAAAAGGTTTTAAAAGATAAATGGAGGCTTCATCTCTGCACAAAGGTAATTACTTCTACGGTAACTGTAAGAGGGTGAATACCTGAGAATGGGCATTGAATCTAGGACAATATGGATTTGTGTTTGAATGTGAGAGGTACAAAGCTGCGAAAATCTGAACATACCTATGTTGAGACAACATAAGGAAAAATGGGTAGCAAACACATTATTATAGATACTGTATCATGCTTTAAACCTAGGATGAAGTAACTAACAGTACATACTAAACTAAAATATACTTCTATAGTTCCCTGAAAGGACTATATATGCTACTCTGTAATGGACAAAATCGAATAAAAGAGTACCATTAGAAAAAGAGAAAATATAAGGAAAGCCCACGATGTAAAGGTATTAAAAACAAAAACAAAAAAGTCCTTTAATATGTGGTGGCTGTGGAAAGATAAAATAGGGAACTATTCATGTTCTGGCTTACAACCTATTCCTGTTTGGTTGCAATGCCCATGCTTCATTATCTAAAACCAAGCTTCACTCTTCTAATATTAAGTATAATTTAACAATACATACAGGATGAACAAAAATTATATATATAACAATATATATAAATATATATAAAAATTATAACTGAGGTTAAAAAACCTATTCACCTACAGTTTAAAGTGGAAACAAAACTCACCTTAATATCAAATATTCTTAAAAAATAAGATCTCTGTGGATTGTCCTTAACAAGACAAGCGACACCACTGCACTTCTTTGACCACATACAGTTACGATCTGCTGCATATAATTGTACCACTGCTGAAGACATAGTCTGGAAAATATAAAATTTATAGCCATTACGTTCAAATTAACATTCAGATGACCACAGCCCCTGCTGACATCTTCATTGCAACCTCATGAGAGACATGCAACCGGAACCACCCAGCTATGCTGCTCCTGATTTCCTGTCCCACAGAAACAAGGAGATAATAAACATTTATTGTGGGGCGCCTGGGTGGCT